TTTTCGTAAAGAACAGAAGTTGAAGTGCATTTAACTTGTAATACATTTCTATCTCTACTAACTCTATGTTGCAGGTCATACAATACCATGACTTTTTTCTTGAGAAGTGCTTGAGGGGATGTTTGCTTCTGTCACCCGTTCTTCTCAAGGTATGATGCATTACTGATATGTAATTACTTCGCGGGTAAGTACACACATCGTTTTGTTAACTAATTAATCTATCTCCAAGTCGGCTATGGTATTTGAAAGTACAAGTGTTACGTTTTGTGATTTCATTGACTTTACCTGACTCATGAATTTACCCATTTGACATTGCTTTTATATTTTCTCTGTGTCGACATTACCTCTACTTTCTAGAGCTAAAGCATTCCGTACATCTCATTGAAATTTACACTCTCCGCAGTGCACCTTGAATTATAAATCATGATTTAGCTTTGATTGAAAGTGCTTGCTACTCTTGAATTCCCATTGCTCAACAATGACTTTGTTCAATGCAGAAACTAGAGAAAATGAAATCGATATGCCTTCAGTATGCATCAGCAGCTCAATGGCTTGTTACATACTCAAACGATAGCCCCAACACTGAGAGTCCCAATGCGGATAGATACAAAAAGCTGAAACTAAGAAGCCGATCCCAGTTGCTGAATGTCGCTCCCGAAAATGCGACAGTTGTTGAATCCATCCTGTAAGTTAAAACAATTTGGAGGGTTTTCTTGATACCCCGAAAATCTTTCAAATTGCAAATATACCCCAAGACATATGGGCTATTCCCGTATTTATTAAGAAAATCCTAGCCTTAAACAAGTGTTTTGATAATTTTGAAAAGATAATCGCATAATTTGTTGGTATGATGCTACCCGTTTTCCCTGTAATGTCTAACACGCGTAATCTGCAGGAAGTTTGAGAAGGAGTTTTCTAAGGAACTTGAGAGTCTTGGACCAATATTGAGCAGCAGTTCTTATGCTGAGCCATACTTAACTCATCTTGCGCAGTGGCTTCTTGGGGTCGGAAGGGACTGAGAAGGGTGCTGTTTCGAGAGTATGTCACAGTCACAGTGATGAAAGATTTTTTTTATTTATGTATTTATTTTTTGGAATGGTGTGTTGTGTATATTTTCTTTGCATAATGCTCGTTTGAATTT